GTAATCCTTCCAGAGGGTGTCAAGTACAGGCAGAGCTGGAGTAGCAGGAAGAGGCAGGGTTGAGGGCGATGTGGCTGAAGGAGTAGACAGCTGGGATTAGAGAGAGTGGTTTGTTCTTCAGTAGCCAGGGGCTATTAAAGGGATGAAGAGTGAAAGAGAGTGAATAACAAGTTTAGGCAGAGTAACAATGCCAACAACTGATAAAGACAGTTGATCAGAAGGTTCAAGTTAAATGATTTGTGTTAGCACAGTGATCAAATGTTTGATAGGATGTGTTGTAGTACATTGTGGCACCAGCCCCGTTGGCCTAATCTATAAGTCTAGCGAAGGAAGGAGATAGAAGGAGTTTATTACTAATCTGGAAGCTCCCTGGGTGCAGTGACTGCTTGAGTTTTCATTAAGCAGAGAGTGTAGCATAAAACCAATTTAAAGAAAGTTTGGTTAGATACCTAACTAAGCAAAGCTATCCAGAGGGCATTTAAGGATGAAAATGGAAGGATAATAAACAGAAGAAAAATGGAAAAGATCTGCAAAATTTTTTTAATAACAAACTTTTTGACACCAAGGATGGAAGGCCCCATACTTCCCGCTCTAACATCACAGTCTTGGATATACTTTAAAAAGATACAGAAATAGCACTAAAGAAGAGAGAAGAAGCTGGATTAGACTAAGTATACCAGTCTAAGAAGAGATCTGTGCTGGAGGTAGCACAATTGTAAGGATGCTAAGGTGTCATTCACAAGGTATCTGAAGGAGTGAATAATACAGAGTTGGGAAAAAATCTTAGATGTCACTACCAAAAAGTTGTAACTAAGAGAACATTATCAACTACTATTTTATATGTCTTTTGCATATTTTATGTAATATTTTTCTATGAATCATATCCACAAACATTGAGTATATCCTTGAGGATATGCCAAAGGACATTATATTTTATCTTAATAGACAATAGAGAACCACTATAGTTTATTAATGGTGGTGGGTAGGTAGTAACATGAAGGCTTTTGCAAATGTTATTCTATAGTAGACCACATTTTTATCAACATATAATTGACTGAAAAATGTATATCCCACTGTGCTTGTTTATTTTTGTTTTATTATATTGTCTTTGATTTATTCTGTGTAAGGGAACTCGTAGTGAGAAAACTCTTTTCACAGACTTTGATCATTATTTGCTCTGCAATTTTGTCTAAGAGTTGTCTGAGATGAAAAATTGTGTGACTTGCCCTTGGTCATATGTTCAGAATATATCAGAGGCAGAAATTGAATCCAGATATTCCTAATTCTGAGTTTGGCTCTCTAGTCACTAGCCCCACTGTGCATTTGTGTTTATTGTCTGCTGAGGATACAAAATGGGATTGGTTCAGTACAGCATGCCACCTTAAAGGCTCTCTTCCAATGGAGGGTCTCCCATCAATACATTAAAATCATTAAAGATTCCTTGAAAGATCTAACCACAAAGATAACCTTGTTCGATCATAAATATCAAGTGAGGCATTAAACAGGGAAATGTATGCTTGCTTGCCAAAATATATTCATCATGGTGATGGGGAAAAGCCAGCAGAGTCCAAGCTGACAAGGTATTCCTGATATTTCTGTTTGTGGATGATATTGTACTGGTGATATCAAATATCAGAATTCTGTAGAGCCCCCTAGAAGAGATCTATAATCATTCAAAAGTGTTTCACTTGACCAACTACACAGAAAATGAAAGATAGTTGGAAACCTTGAAGACTCCACTGGTATTCTCACGGTTTCACTCAGTGGCTGCATGCTCTAGTAGAAAGCTAGCCTCAAAAGCTATGAAAGCCTGTGTTAAAGTCTTGCCTCTGACACATACTGGGTGTATGATCCTGGACAAGTCACTAAACTCAGTATTCTAGACCAGAGGTGTCAAACAAGCCGCCCACAGTAACTCTGGAGTACAGCTCAAACCAGATTAAAATGTAATTGGAAAACTTAACAAAATTAAAAATAGATTACATTAATAAGTCAATATGCTGCCTGTAGGGATCTTCATGTAAAGTTTAGTGGCCCCATTTCTTTTGAGTTTGATACCATCTATAAGATGATGGGTTTCAGAGAAGGTGCTGACCTGCATTGGTAGAAAAAATTTTCTCACCTGGGAGTTTTCTATATCACTGAAATCAAGGTCCAGTCTCTGCTTATCCCCTATCATTTTCTTTACAGTGGTCTTAATTTAGAGAATAACATTTTTTCCCCAGCCAAAAACATCATTATGTTTATAACAGAAATCAAAAGGAAGACTTCATTTAACAAATTTATTTATAGTAAATTTCACTGGGATGCTCTGATTTCATTATTTAATGCCTGCATTTTAAAATTTTACTTAGTTACATTAAAAATATACATAATAGCTAGCCTATAAAGTTGGTTTTTCAATCGGATATTTATTAAACACCTATTAAGGCACTAGCTAGGTTGAAACAAATATAAAAATGAAACAGTTTTTGCTTTCAAAGAGCTTATATTCTACTGTTCAAAGGAGGCAGCAATAATTAACATACCCTTTTTAACTGGAGCTCAGACATCTACCCAGAATCATTTAAAAAGTATAAAATGGTAATTTAAGTGAAATATAGCTATATTTGTATAGGTCTTTTTTGTTAATAAATCACAGTTCTAGTCCTTATCTCCTCTTTTATTTAATAAATTATTACAGATCATATTTAAAATATCCATACATAAAAGAATCTCAAAGCCAGTTACAAAATATCTCATCTATTTTCACAAGGTGCCTTTAAATAACGAGGGCATTATCCAGAGAGGTTAGGCAATTTAGTTAGATATTCATTCCACGGGGGTACAAAACAAACCTAAAAACGGACTTTAGTGAGTCTGTCTCGTGATCTACCCAAGAGACAACTCAAGAAATTTAGTACTTTGGTGACAAAGTAAGCAGATTGATTGCACAGAAGTGATATAGACTTTGAGGTGAAGGCACTGGCAGAAGGAAAATGGCAGCAACGTCCAAATAGCTCCTGAAAAGACCAGAGAGTGAATGACAGTACAGGAGAAAGAGTACTGGGAATCAGAAGCACTGGGTTCAATTTGGATTCTATTTGTTTTGTGCGAACAAAGCAAGGCAGATTCTTTCTGGATGGAAGCTTCCTTGTCTGGAGAATGAAGGCGTTGGACTTAAGGGCTCAAGGTCCCTGTCTAGGTCTAACTTTATGATCTCAAGTGTAACTTCAGTACCTTCACAACCTCTGCACCTCTCGAAAAAATCCCATCAAAACAAAACCCACCAAAACAATATCTAGCACAGCTCGAAACGATGTGATGTTCAGGGTTCCAGACTCGAGACAGTCTCCCCTGCAACTATCAGGAAAGGGTGCCTTTTAAACAAAAAGCTGACAGACCTTTAGGTGGCTTAGAAACAATTGGAGGCTTTGCAAATTGAAGGAATGCAGCACAGAAAGGCCTGCGGATGCACATGGATCTCTCCTGTGACGACTAAACTCAGTGCTACCGACCACTACTAGACTGTAACATCGTCTTCTTACCGACCTGTGGACCAAACATCTGCAGCCCTGCTAAGTCTAGTGTTAATCTGAGGTGTGTATGTGGAGAATGGGAGCCGGGTTTAGTTTGGGCCAGCTTGCCCAGTAGCTCCTGCAGCGAACTGTCCACTCCCATGGCATCACTTGTAACCCAGAACCTATCTGCACCATAATACCTTTATATACCCAAGATCCTACGCCTAGCTCTTTAAAGACCCGAAGGCAAGGCGGGGGCAGTTCCTCCCACAGGCCCCAAGAGGACTGACCAACCCCAAGGGCAGAGCGGGGAGGTGGCACAGGCAGCTGGGCGGTGACGCAAGGGGTGGACGCGGGTTCCTCCCCTCGGGCCCCGCTCCCTCCCGCGGAACAGACCAGAAACACGAATTGGGGGCGGAGATTGAGAGGTATGGGGAAGGTTGAAGAAAGAGCTGGTGTGTCTGGCTAATCAAAGGGCATTTTTTTTTTGGCTGGACACAGGTACGAGATCTCACTGGCCACGGTGTGGGTGCCAGACCTTTGTTTTTCCGCAGTTTCCAATGAGGAGCAAGTCCTCTCCTCCTCCCCCCTCCCTTTTCTACTGAGTGGTGCGCTCGGCCCTGATCCGCAGCAAATGCACTGCAGAGAGTCGCGGAGGGGAGGGGGCACGTGGGAAGTCCCACTGGGAGCCGCGAGCGTCCGCTAGTCTTCCCCCTTCCCCGCCCCAGCCGCTCGCCTCCCTCCTGCAGAGGCGGGGCTCAGGCGCAGCCCAGGCACCTCGCACCCCGCCCTCCTTCCCTCCTGCGAGCAGGAGCTCCACTCCTCGCAGCCCCAGTCTCTCTGTCACTTTCACGTCTCTCCCCCTACTTGCCAGAGCGCCGTGCGGGGGCGGCGCCGGGCCCTGCTGACTTACCCCGGGGCTGGGAAGTGGGGATGCTGCTGCTGCTGCTGTCGCCCCTGGGGCCCGGACAGCACCTGGAAGAGAAGGAGGCGGCCGCGGCGGCTGCAGGACCACGAGCTCCTGCGCCAGTCCCTGGAGGGATTCTCCCCGCAGCCTCGCTGCTTTCCGGGCTTTTCCCGCTGTCACTCGGCTCCTGCTGCCGCCGCTGAGCGCCGGGGCCTCCCCAGGCATGAGGAGACGCAGCACGGGCCAGCCGAGACCTCCCGGGCCCCTAGGGACGCCCCCGGCCACGGAGCATCTCGCACGCCGGAGGCGACCAGGGCTCCTGCTTTAGTCTCGGTGATAAGAGAAAAACCAGGAGAAGAAGGAGAGATTGCGGCGGCTCCAGAGGCTGCTGCTGCGGGCAGCCGGGAGAACGCGGGGTGGGGGCGACTGTCCGATCTGGAGAGTCCCGTTCCCGGGAACTGGACGCCTTGCTCCCGATCCCGAGATGAGGGTGCGAGGCTGGAGCGTCTGAAGCTGTGGCGCCTTCGCCACCGCCGCTACGCAGGGTGTTGCTGCAATTTGGTGTCCCTTCTCCGCAGGGAAGGCTAAGCCGGGGCTCACATCCTGCGCTTCACCCCGCACCGGCCTCCCCCTGCTGCCTTTTCCCACCTGCGCTCCCGCCCCATACTCTGATTGATAGCAACACCCTCCACCCCCCAGTTACCCTCCTTTTCCCATCTACTCTAGCTTTCATCCTGTCCCCTTATTACCCCTCCCCCGCCAAGTTCATTCATTCATTCATTCATTCTGTATCTACCCTTCACCCCGACCTCCCCACTTCTTTTTCTCCTATCTCTCCTTCCATCCTCTCCCGACTTCGGCTTCCTCTCTGCAATTTGCGGGGTGGTTTAACCAGTTCATGGGAGTGTAAGGCCTGGACAGTGCCCTAGTGTTCGGGATCGAGCTCGGCTAGTTAGGAGGAGGAAGATGTCTCTGCTTAAGTGGTTGCTGCGGGTCTCCAATCGCTCTTTGCTCGCCTTCATCTTCTTCTTCTCCCTCTCGTCGTCTTGTCTGTACTTCATCTATGTGGCCCCAGGGATCGGTAAGCACTAAGGCATTCCTTTCCTTAGACCAGGGGTCATAAATCTCCACACACTGGCACCTAGCAAAATCCAGGAAATTACTTTCTTTAGAGAAGATAATTTGGTTATTACTGGGGTAAGGGGTCTTTAGGAAGTAGTTTACTTGAAACTTTATACCACTGGATATAGCATATTTCACGGTTCTGTTGATTTGAAACTGACTAAAACAATTTCAAGTAAGTAAATTGAGGGTCATAAAATAGACACAACTTCACTGTGAATGCCCCGATTCATTTTTTATGTATTTATGACAGTGTTATACTGTACTGACTAGGTTCACTCCATCACCCCAGCTCCATGCATAATCCTAGTAATCTTAAAAGACCTCTAGTTCATTAGCTGTGGAGTAAGGTAGATTGAAAAGAGGAAGCAACCACAAGGAATTGTTTTTTTAGGTAGCTGAGAGTTTTGGAATATATTTACTGAATTTCCAAAATAAAATCAAATGACAGTATTCCTCTACTTTACGGACTTCAGGGAGAGTACCATAGTCTGTCTTGACCAGTTAACACAGCTGCTCCCTGTGGAGATATTAAATATGTTTGCATTTCAAGTGATAGATTCCCCCCCCCCACCTGTTTGGGTGTTTTCAGAAATAGAGCAATGTTAAATATTAGAGTGAAGATTATATTCTTAAACCAAAGATATATTAAAATTCATGTCACAGACCGTATCCGACTCATGCTTCTTTGCCATTGAATCTAATATACAGAACTAATGGTCTACTCAATGTTTTAAATGATCATTTCCCTAGGGTTTTTTCCTCCACTAACTTGGCTGGTTGACAGTCTACCATATTGTTTAAGGGCTGTTTCATTCTGGCATTATGGCTAGGACCTGGGAGTATTTAATGTTTATGGTAATCCATACATAATGCATTTTAAGTAGTTTTGCTGTATTTCTCCAAATGCTGATTTTATTTCTCACTTATATGCTTTCTGTTTTATTCATCATCTGTATTAAAAACCATTGACCATGTAATTTGAACATATATATATTTGGAAAACTCTCAAATTTACATATTGTTGAGTCCTGAAAATTGTAGTTTCTAGTTGTGTATATCTGAGGGCAATTAAAAAAACACATAGCTTGCATTTATATAGTGATTTAAAAAATTTTCAAAGCACTTTACTTATTTGATGCTTACAACAGGTCTGGCAGGTAAGTGCTATTATCTCTATTTTTTCATATGAGGAAACTGAGTCTGAGAGAGGTTAAGTGACTTGTTCAGGGTCATACACCTACTAAATAGCTGAGGCAAAATTTGAACTCAGGTAAACCTGACTCCAGGTGTCTTGAATAATGGTTGGTTTGAGTAATTGCCAAGGTGGGGTGGGAGAGAGTGGGAAAGCAGCGTCATGGAAAGCTGGGAGAGATTACTTTCTATACTAGCATTCTTGAAAATGGAATTTTTTTTGGTCATTTGATGTTCAGATTTTTTAGATAGAAATAATATTAAGATCTGATGTCTGAGAAACCTTAAATTTTGCTGAAATCTGGTGTATCTTAAAAAAGAATTTTGATATAGCATGAGTACTATAATTGTTTCCCCAAAATGAAGTAAAACATTTATTAAGTTTCTACTATGTGCCCAAGTGCTTTACAGATATCTCATTTTATTCCCACAATATCTTTGGGAGGTATTATTATGGAAACTGAGGTAGAGGGAGGTAAAATAACTTGCTTAGAGTCACACAACTAGAAAGTGTCTGAGGTTAGATTTGAACTCAAGTCTTCCTGACTCTAGCCAGACCCAGTGTTCTATCTATTGCACCTGACTCCAGGCCCATTTGAGGTAATTTCCATCACAGGAAAGAGCTCATGGCACCGACTTCACCAGCAGTTAAGAAAGCTCAGTAGAATTATTTAGCCAATTTATAAGGCAAAAACCATAGTAAGGTTTACTTTCTTAAAGGCCTGTCATTTTTTGGGTCTTAAAAACCAATTTCTCATGATCTGTGCTTTGTGATCTGATTCCTTAAAGATTGTGTCCTCTAGTGTGCTCTTTCTTGAGGATACCTAATTCTTTGAAACCTCAGAGAAAAATTACTTGACTTATAAACTACAGTATTATTCATTTAATGGCAATTTGCAACAATCAGCTTTATTGAAAGTAATTTAAGTTCTTTATAAGTCATACAAAAATTAGTGGATTGAACCTAATACTTTATTCTGAGGACCATTTATACGCACCTATCTTTTCCTTTGGTTAGTAGTTTTGAAGGGCTTTCCAAATACATTAAAATGTTATACATATGATCTCAAAATTTAATTGGTCTGAGAACCAATGTTAGTGAAAGATTCAGGCTGCGTACTAATATACCATCCTTATCTGAGCATATGTTATGTGTGTGTAACTGTACAATAGAAGATCAATTTATTCACTTCTATAAAATCTTTAGTAGCAGTAATTATAGCAACCAGGTTGAAATGACTTAGGCTTACTAATATTAGAGTGTGATATTTGTTCAAAGTCTGGAATTGGACTTCTTGTATAGTATGACCCTTAGACTTCATTAGATACATAAAGCATTATCTATTTTTCTATGGGTCATTTGCATCATTTAAAATCAGTCAAGAAAAGTAAAATGCTAACTTGTAAATTGATATCCTTTTGTTCATTTGAATCATTTGGCAAGATGCAGTACTGTGAAGTCAAAATAATCTCACTGTTCATTAATGGCAATTAGCATGACACATATATATCAGGTTTTGTTTAGACTATACTCGTGTATTAGTGATCTGTCTTTGCAGTAGTAAAAGATCATTCTGATACTCTACTTATAGGATATGACCTGCATTGTTTGTAATAAATTATTATAGTATAATTAATTGTGGCCTTCAACATTTCTGAAAAGCCCCAAAGGAACTTAGTGTTTATTTGCTTCATTTGGTGTCCCAGCAGTGATGCTACAGGGATGAGGACTGGACTGTGATTTCATTGCTCTTTTACCACAGCATGGCAGCACCTTTTCTGCAACATTTGGTCAGAGGGTTGCCTAGAGCACTGAGAGGTTCAATTCCTTGCCCCAAGTCATACAAGTAGTATGTATCAAAAGTGACTCTTAAACCCAAGTCTTCCTGGGTTACTAGCCAGCTTCCTATTCACTATGCAATATAACAATAGTAGTTAATAGCTAACAATTATGTACTGCCTATTATGTGCCAGGCACTGTGCTAAGTTGATCTTTACAACAACCCTGGGAGGTAGTTGCTGTTATTATCCCCATTTTACACATGAGAAACTGAGGCAAGTGACTTGTCCAGGGTTACACAGGTAGGTATCTGAGGTCACATTTGCATTCAGGTTTTCCTGACTTCAGGCCCAATATTCTATCCATTGTGCCACCTAGCTGCCTCAAATTGAGACACAGCCTCTCTCCTAAAGACCCTATAGGTATTGTAAATGATGGATGTGTGTTATTGTTATGAAGAGAGAGTGTCAAAATGTGCTTATGAATTAAACTTCTTTTTTTTTTTTTTTGCTTTTAGGCAATTGGGGTTAAGTGACTTGCCCAGGGTCACACAGCTAGTAAGTGTCAAGTGTTTGGTCTGAGGCCGGATTTGAACTCAGGTCCTCCTGACTTCAGGGACGGTGTTCTATCCACTTTGCCACCTAGCTGCCCCTTGAATTAAACTTCTTTAAAGAACTATCTTTTTTTTTTTTTGCCTTCTCTGTAGAAGAGATAATGCTCAAACTGATACTGTTTTTTATGAGGACAAATTTTTCTTGGGCTTATACAGTAAATATTTATTGATGTTTATTGTTTTTTATTAAAGTGTTTATCAAACACTTTCCATGTGCCAGGCTCTGTCCTAAGTGTGGAGATAAAATAAGGAAAAGAAAATTCTCAAGGAGAAACTCAAGGAACTTGGAAATCTAATGGGAGAAGATAGTACACAAAAGGAAGCTTAAAGGGGGTGGGAATACCAGAGGGTGTGATGCATGGGGGCATGATGAAGATGATGATGGACTTGAAACCAAGCAGAACTGCTGGTGGAAGAATGGCTGACATTTTGAGTCTTTTATGAAGGGAGAGTGTGGGGGGAATTTTTTGTTCTGTCCTTCAATCAGAAAGGCAGAAGCAACTGAGATTATTCATTCTCTTAAGTATGGAAAGAACTGAGGTCTACAATCCTAATACTATTCTTAATATGTAGCCTGAAGAGGGGAGGAAAAGGACCTTAATGTGCTTTCACACTTACAGCTCAGCTGTGCAAGTAATTTGTAAAACATTTCCCCAAATTATCAATTCAGACTAGCAAAAGAAATATAGGCATTTTCTTGTTTATAAACTTAAATGCTGTAAGAAATTAGTTTGCAGGGTAACATGAAGACACATACTACCACTGAGTTGTCTATGGTTCACATTTTAAAAAGTGGACATTGCTATAATTCTGTTGAGACCTGGTCATGGTTATGTAAAGTTTCCTATACTGATAACACCTATATGCAGTGTTGATGTAAGTAGCAGCGGTTGCAGCCTATACCTTCTTCCATCAATGCTGGCACTGTTACAGATGCTTCCTCTCAGGTTCTGATCTTCTTGGAACTGAGACTCAAGCAGGGGTTTGAACTCTGTGTGCGTGTCAGAAAGAGAGAGAGAGAGAGAGAGAGAGAGAGAGAGAGAGAGAGAGAGAGAGAAATAGGCAGATCCTTTTGGCAGTCTGGTGAAGCCTATGGGCCTCTTCTCAGAATAATATTTGTTGCCCAAATTCATAGTGGAAGGAAGTTCTGAATTTCAGTTAAAGGTTGATAAAAATAAAGAGTGATTTTTTCCTGATCCCAAATCAGAGACTACTAAAAATCCACCTAGGGATCCCTAAGGAGTTTGTGGACTCCAGGCTAAGAACCCCTGGACTTGTGGCATGATGATTTCAGAGCAATTTCCAAGTCATCCTGTATATATCATGTACCAGAAATGACTGCAGTAATTTTCTTGCTGTATGGACAAATAAG